CCGCCGCCGCTCCACAGACGTCACATGATGTTTGGTCACGTGGGCTCCATTCATGAAGCGGCGACGCGACCCGCCGGGGCTTAAAGGGGAAGGCGCGGCGGCGGCGGCGGAGGCGGCGGCGGAGGCGGGGCGCTCCCGAGCTGCGCCTGCGTGCCCGGGAGCCATCGCCCCAGCAACGCGCGCCGCGCCCTGCCAGGGCGGGGTCTCGCGGGACTCGCTCGGGCGCGCGCTCCCTGGCGGCCACGCCCCCACCGGCCTTCAAGGTGGGGCCTCGTGGCCGGTTTGGTCGCTTTCCTGACCCTTATGTGCTGACACTTTCAAAGGCCACGTGTCCAAGGGGCCCGCTTCTACCTGCCCAGGGTGGGGGTCTGTGCTGGGGGCTCACTCCTTTGGAGGGCCCTGCAGGGACAGAGTCCTGGCTGCCCCGCAGGCACTCCAGACCCAGCCCCTTTGTACGTGGGGAGTGACCAGGCCTGTCGAGGCCACCCTGGCAGAGACGAGAAACGCAGCCCTGCCCGTTTTTCTGTTGTGCATTTTCTTCTGCGTCTCCTGTCTCCCTTTAGATTTGGAGGGCTGCTCTTTGTCCCCAAAGTGTCCTCTGCCCACCCACGTGCACTGGGTCTATGTTCTAAGTGGGCCCAGGACTCTGCTCAGGGGCTCTCCCGATCCCCCCACCCTCCCGCCCTTTGGGGGGCCCCACCTCTTGTTCTGAGTGCTCCTGGCACATCTGAGTCGCCCAGCCCAGCTCCCCTAACCCACCAGAGCAGGGGTGGGTGTAAGTGGTATCAACCTCTGAGGCAAGGGGCCTCCTCTTACTATCTTCATGCTCTGTAACCGGTCAGTGATGGAGCAAATGGAAGCGTTCTGGCCCCATAAAGTGTTCTGACCCTCACTCCTCTGATCTTATGATGGTTAATTTTATATGTCAAATTGGGACACGGTGCCCAGACATTTGGTCAATTATTCTGGCTGTTTCAGTGAGGGTGTTTTGGCATGAGATTAACATTTAAATCGGTAGACGTTAACAGATTGCCTTCTATAATGTGAATGGGCCTCATGCAATCAGTTGAAAGCCCAAATAGAACAGAAAGACCGACCCTCCCTGGTTTAAGAAATTCCCTCTCTCTGCCTGCCAGCCTTTGAGTTGGAATGTCGGCTACCTGGGTCTCTAGCCTGACAGCCCACCCTGTAGACTGGACTTGCCAGCCTCCATAGTTGTGGCTTAATCTTTCTCTTTAATATCACCTAACATCTATCTCCATGTCCTACTGGTTCTGTTTCTCTGGAGAGCCCTAATATAGCTCCCTAGGGGCCTCCCGCTCCAACTGCCCCTACCCGGGTGACTTGGAGGTGACATGTGCCCCACTAAGCTAGGAGGCGCAAAAGATGCAGAGGCTGGTGCTCCCCACAGCAAGACAGGCCAACCGAGTAGGGCTTGAGGGGCTACACCCTTCCCCAGAGGCTTCCTCCCCTGTGCTCACTGGGAGACTCCAGCCCCAGCAGCCTGGCTGCCTTGGAAGAAAGGGCCCTGGAGCCCAGGGGCTACTGGCTTAGCCTCTACTATTATACCCAACAGCAACGACCCCCTGGGGCAGCTGGGGACCTCCCTCCACACATGCTGACAAAGTTAGAAGTCAGGGCACTGGGCTGGGAACCAATTTATTTAACCTAAAAGAATTTAGGTCAGGAAGAGAAGTGACAGTGCCTGTGGTTCAGGTCAGGAATGGGGGACAGTGGCCTGAGTGTGCTGGTGGCCTTGGAAGTCCAACTGTCTGAGGGGCCCTTTTCTCAAATGTCAAATGGGGGTGAGGGGTGATTTGCAGCTGGTCAAGAACCGTGGTCCCTCCCATTGGGCTCAGGATGTCTGGGGCCCTCTGGTCCTTCCCACACCAAGGAAGGAGGTGTTCCCTCCTCCCCAGCCACGAGTGGAGGTTGGGGAAGTAGCAGACGTAGGGCAGGGCTCCCCCCTTTAGTTTGGCTTTCATGGGGCAAGGGGAACCTTGACCTTTGTGCTTAGGCCAAGCCCCAAAGCAGCTAATGCTGAGAGGTGAAATCCCCAATCCCCCCGCTTCCTGTGCTCCTGAAAGATGGTCCTGACTTGGTTTGGGGCAGAGGAAGCGCAGGGTTGAAGTCAGAGGGTCTGTCCCTGTTCTGGACCAGGAAGCATTTGGAGATTGTGGAGATTCCCACTGGCAAGTGATGTGCCCCCTCCCTGGCTATGACCCTGGCTGACCCCAGTTGACCAGAGCCGTGGGCAGTGGGCCAACCTGCGTGGTCAGGGGCCAGACACCCAGCACAGGAGCTCTGAGCCAAGAGAGAGAAGGTGGAGGACAGCCTGGTGGGCAGGTGGCGCACTTCAGTCCTTCTTGCCTGTCGGGGTCATGCTTCGGGGAAGCAGCTTGGTGTGGCCAGAAGGAGCCAGCAGGGTCTCCGGAGGGGTGTCAAGCTTCACCTTGTCCAGGACAGTCTTCTTGATGGCAGCTGGTGAGACCTTCTCGCGGTCAGCCATAGATTGCAGCTCCCTGGGGAGGCAGTGAGGGTTGGGTCCAGGGCTCTGCCGCCTTCCTGAGCCCATGTGTCCATGGGGGAAGAGGGGGTCGAGACCCACAGCTCCCAGCACCTGCCAGCCCAAGGTGCTGCTGTGCTGTCATGCCTACCTCATGGCCCTTGCACCTGCAGTTCCTTCTGCCAGCTACCCTCTCTGAGACTGCTGTCTGGCTTCCTCTCACCTCATTCAAATCGGCTCAATCACCAAATCTAGTAGTAGCCCCCCTGACTCTGAGCCCTCATTGCCCTGAGCACAGGACATGTGCCTTGTCTGTCTCCCCTGAGGGTTGGTGCCAGCAGGGCAGCACTGTGTCCTGGCCTCACTGTCATACTGTGGCACTTGGAGAAGCCTGGGGGTTTAGACTGGAGAGCAGGCAGGGGGCTGAGAAAGACGTCTGTCCATCCTCAGCCCTGAATGAGGGATAGTGACTTCGAGCCGAGACACCTAACTCTGTGTCCGTCCCTGCTGTTTGGTTTTTCTGGCAGCTCTCATTGGAGCTGCCATTGTGCCAGCACACTGCACTGCGTCCTGCTCGTCTAACTTGCTTAACCTCCCCAGTCAGGCTGGGAGAAAGGTGTTATTGTAAAGCCCACAGAGGTTCCTTCTGGTTCCCCTGGCCCGCCTCCCCAGCTTGGAATGATCACCCCAGTCTGACGGCCACAGGTGATGAAACCACGTGGGGAGCAGAACGAGTGCCCAGAGGGCTGCCCCTCCCGGCAGAACAATGGGCGTTGCGAACCATATGCCAGGGAACCTCAGCACTCCCCATGCCCTGCTCACATCCGCTGAGTGGATGACTGAGCAGACGCGAGTGAGGCTAAGGGCTCTGGTGCACTGGGGAGGAGGCTCGGGGGGCAGGCAGCAGTGGGGGCCCACCATGTGCGGATGCAGGAGGCCTCCACAGCATTGATGATCAGGGAGCGGAAACCCCCACTCTCCAGCACATGCAGGGCGTGGATGGTGGCCCCTCCAGGAGAGCAGACGTTGTCCTTGAGCTGGCCTGGATGCTGTTCTGAGTCCAGTAGCATCTTGGCAGCCCCCTGCAGCCAGAGAGACAGGCTGACAGCTGCGGGGGCACCCAGCCGCCTCCACGGGGCACTGCCCCCAGCCCCAGACACCGCGGCACCCGCTGACTCTCCACCCATCCATCCCAGTGCACCAGCCTCTCGCCCACCAAGGAGTGGCCCCCACCAGAGGGTCAGAAGAAATACTGACCAGCAGAGCCTGGGCCCCGAGGCGGACTGCCAGGCGCCTGGGAAGCCCCATCTTCACGCCCCCATCAGCCAGGGCATCTAGAGCTGTGAAGGCCTGTAGGGAGAAGGCGCCTAAGCCACTGTCCCAGGCCTCTTCCCCTCCAGGCAATGGTTGGTCCAACAGCTCTGCCCGTAGCAGCCAGAGCAGGGAGGAGGGTGAAGGATGGGCAGATGGGCCTTGAGGTTCTGCCCACCACTGTCAGCTGCCACCCACCCGTGCCCAGTGCTCACATAGGCTGGGCCACTGCCACTGAGCCCCGTAACGGCATCGATCAGGTCCTCCTCCACCTCCGTGCAGAAGCCCACGCTGCCCATGAGCTGCTCCAGGAGCCTGCCATCCTCCACCTGGGCATGGGTGCCAGTGGCGTACACGGTGGCCCCCTCTCGCACCACAACTGGTGTGTTAGTCATGCAGCGGATGACTTTGGGGGCCGGCTGGAAAGCCATCAGCTTCTGGAGAGGAAACAGGCTGCATGTCCATCTGGGCCCTGGGCCCTGAGCCGTTCCTGAGTCCTCACTGTGCGCTGGGCCGACACACCCATTTCACAGATGGAGGGCCCAGAGGGCCAGAGCTCCTGACCAGGGTACACACTTCTACCCCTCCCCCAGCACCCCTGGGCCTGGACCAGTAGCGCCCACCTTCTCAATGGAGCTGATGGTGACGCCAGCTGCGCAGGACACCACGATGTGCCGTGCCTCGATGTCAGCACCGATCTCATCCAGGATGAAGGGGATGATGTGAGGCTTGACGGCCAGGAAGAGCACGTCGCTGTGCTGCACCGTCTCCTTGTTGTGGGGTGTCAGGTTCACCCCCATCTTCTGCAGAAGTGTGCAGCCTGGATGGACCCCCAGTATCCCTCCCCCAAGCCAAGAGCCCCAATGTGGAACAGGACAGAGGCTGCTGGGAGTGTGGGCGTGGCCAGTGAGGGGCTCTGACACCCCCAACCGCCCTTCCCACCTATAAGTGGAAGCATTCTGCTCTGGAATGTGCCCCTTCTGCAGACTGAAAAGGGACACTACATCCACGCCACAGCCGTGGCCCAACCCACTTTGGGCTGCCGCCCTCAGACACTCTACTTTCTGGGTGTGCGTGGTGGTCTCAAGCTGGGCGCCTGTCTCCATCCTTGGATCTAGAGCCCTGACTCAGCTAGGGCAAATGGAAGTTGTATCAGCCATGGCTGTATCTCACCTGTCCCCACCCTGTGGCCTCATCTACCTGGCCCCCACAACACCCTATTCCAGACCATCACCCCCTCCCCACTAGCTGCACATGTGCCTGTCACCCAGGTCTCAAGAGCTGAGCAGGGTCTGTGAAATACTCCAGCCCAGGGCCCCTCCTCTAGCTGGAGTGGGGGGCTGTTTCATGGTGCCCCCTGCTGGGGCCTCTACTCCTGGCCATCCAGGTTCAAGGCTGTCACAAACCTGCCCTTAGATACATTGACTGGCCCCTGTAGGGACAGCAGCCCTGCCACCCTGCACCTACCCTGAGGGAAGAAACCGTGGCTAGGTCCATGTCTGGGGAGCTCGCCATTATCTTGTGGGCTGCTAGGACGCCTGCAGGGGACAGAGTTCTTCCCTCAAGGCCAGTCCTGGCCTCCCTCCCCCACATTCCCAGGAAGGAAATCCCACCACCCAGGGCAAGACCCCAAACAGCCTGGGGCTGCATTTCCTACAGACCCTCACCTTCATCCCCCAAGCTGCAGAAGGGTAATGGCCCACCCTCTGACACTGGGCCCCCTCCTGGCCATGGGGCCTACCTGCTGCTGTGAAGCCCTTGGCCAGGGCAAAGGCCAACTGGCCAGCCCCGATGAAGCCCACACTCATGGTATCCAGAGGCTCGCCCACAGCACTCAGAGCTGGTACTGGCGCTGCAGGAACAGCTGCGGGAGGAGATGGAGCAGGACCCAGCGCAAGAAGTTAGGTGGGTAGTGCCAGGCTTGGCCACGCCACGGCCAGCTGGCGCGCCCCCACCCCCACCCCACCCCACCCCCAGCCGGTCTAACTTTCCCCTTGGCTGCCCGACAGCCCCAGGCCGGGTAACTGCTCCGTTCTCCCATCCACAGCGGTGTCCCAGACCTGCTCCCCAGGGCCCCAGACACGGGGCAGAGATGAGCCAGCCAGCCTCCGGAAGGGGTCGGGGTGGGGGCGACCAACTAGCGCCGGGATGAACCTCAGGACCAAGCAAGCCGCTCGCGTCCTAGCACCCCTCGCCCAAAGCCGAGGGACGGGGCTCAGACACGCAACTACCCCTGTCCCGCAGCACCACCCACCTGCGGAGCCCGGCGCCCAGGTACCGAGTTACCGGGCGCAAGCCTCCCCCCCGCCCACTGCTCGGCGCCAGCCACGCGGCATCCGCGCCCCATAGGTCCCGCCTCTGACGCCCCGGCCAATCCGCGGCGCGGCCGCCCGGGAGCCGGCCAATCGGAGGGCGCGGGCGGTGCGGAGGGGCGGTTGCATCATCCTCTCGCCCCAGCCGGTCCAGCCTTGTCTCCCCGCCACGATCCCGCGCCTCGGAGCCCCCCACCCACCTACCCTGATTCGCGCCTACTGAGACCTCGCCCCAGGACTCCACCCTTCACTCCGGCCTCCGGATAAGCGTACCCCAACCTCGGGCCCTTGTCCCTTGACCTGCGCTCCCCCTCGATCTGCGCCCCCCTACCGGGAATACGCGTGGGGACTGAGGACACCCGGGAAGCGGATGGGGTGGGGGGGGCGGGGGAGTGGGGCCATCAAAGAGCAGCCCTGGCTGGGGGTCTCCACGCTAGTCCCTGTCGTGGGCCACACAGACAGGGACATGTCAGGCCTGTGTCCCCCAGGCTTGCATGGTGTGGGGTGGGTGAAAACATTTTGCCAAATGGAAACATTTAAAATATATTACTATTTTGATACTGTATTTTGTCATTTGAACCTTTTTTTTTTTTTTTTTAGCTGAGCCATCCTGCTATCTATTGGCAGTTCAGTGGCTGCTCAGCTTGGGCTGGACTCTAACCGCTGTTGCTCAGAGCTCAAACTCTTGAGCGAGCTCTTAACCAACTGAGCCACTCAGCCGGCCCCCTTTTTAAAAGATTTTTATTGGGGGAATTGGGGGATGGGAACAGCGGGGAATTGGGGGAAAGGGAACAGACAAGTTGCTGTCCTTTTGTTCTTCAGTCTAGTTGTGGAGGACATTGCTTCACTGGCCCAAGTTGGCACCA